TAGATATTTGGAGTCTAAAATATTTTTTTTCTCAACTTGCTAGGGGGTGTTTTAAATTTCAGTCAGCAGAAGTATTATGTTAGCATGGACCCATTTGGTTCAATTCATTTTGAGGAAATAATAAATAAGTAAACTATTTGGTTAAAATTCGGAAACAAAACAATTTGTTCTTGTCATCTGGTGGAGCTTAAATTATGAAAAATAGCTCTCTAAACTTTTAACTAATCCAAGAATCTACTTCGAGGTGGTTGCTGGCTTTATTCCATGATATTGTGCATAATGCCCTGAAATTTGCTGAAAACCTCTGCATTTGAATGTGAACTACATTCTAAGATGATGTTTAATAATTTTTATTAAATCATTTAGACAGAAGGATAATAGGGAAATAAGACACTATAACCTGTGCCTCTGGCAGTTAGCTTATGTGCCACAGTTTAAATGAAAGTATTCAGTGATATTGGGATACCTATGAACTCTCTGGAGGAGGAATTGAGGGAGTTTTGAGTAAGGACAGACAAGTTTCTCTCTCTCTTTGTATCTCACTGATCAACAGAGGGGGACTGTTTTAAGTGTCCGGAATACTTAATTCTCACTTATTTTGAAAACTGGAGCATTTTAGTTCACGTAGGAGTGCGATCCAAGTATAATAAGGCAATTTTTACATATAGCAGGTCAGAATGACTGTCTTAGTTGCGTCATCTTCTCGCCACAGATAAGTTGAAGGGTGACAGCTTGCTCCCTGTGGTTGGGTGCAGATATTATTCATCATTGTTTCTTGAACACAGCACAGAGAAGGTCACCAGTGTAATTCTTGTGTGAATGGAATATGGCTCCCTCTGCTGATTCTGTGACCCAGAAACCTTCCTGCACAAAGTCTAGGTGGGATGTAAGAAAGGGGACATGATTAAACAAGGAATTCAGCTGAGACTTTGCCTCTTCTCCTTTAATTCTTCCCACTTAAGGTATTTACTGTATTTATAAAATTTCTCCTCTTATTTTCTTTAGCACAGAGTTCATTTTAACCAAAAGCTCATCTCTATAAAAACATCAGATCATAGAATTTGGTTGATTCAGTGTATAATTCCCCTTCCTAGAATTGTTTTTTATCCCATTCCTTTAATGATTGACTCTGAGTGTATTTTGGTAATTCAGCTATTTGAATTACTCTACTGGAGACTGATTTAGTTCAACATTGCAGCACCTCTTAATATATATTTTCCTGTAGTAGAGAAGATGGCTATAAAAAAAGAAGATGGCCATAAATAAAAAATATTTATTTTTATTTATAAAAAAATCACCCAATTATGATTTTTCTCAATCTTTAATAACTTCTGAGCCAAATAAATCTGAAACAGTATAAACAAAATCCCAAATAAATCCTTATAATTTTCTATAAGAACATATGATGAACTGGGGCTGGAAAAATATTTTAAATGGCTGAAAAATCAAATGCTCTATGAAAGTTTGCATTTATTTTAGTGACATTTTTACCCTGGAAGAGCACTGTATTGATTGAGTAATGCCAGTTTATAGTTTCTTCAAATCCTGATTTCCTATGTCAATTTATCCTTAATGTTTTTCTGTTATGTGTAATAAATGGATTATGTGCATTCTGCATAAGAAAAGTTTGTAGCTTGAAGATGTGAAGGTATATTTATGATAGTGAGGTTAACAAAAATGTTCCTAAACCAAAAGGAGCCTTGACATGAGACACTGGGCATATCCAGTTGCATCCACTGTCTGTCATCTTCTTAACCTGAGCACACACAGTTGATTAAGTGCTTTATCATTTTAATGTTTTCTGTAAAACACATTCATTCTTTTTGCATTTATGTTTTGACGATGTGAGAAATGAACATTGTATTAGGAAAGAGCTATTTTAAAACAGAGTTATAAACAGAGATATAGAATACCAGTTACATGAAGGAGTATGGATAGTTTACCATATAGTATGATTTTATGTCTAATTTAAACATAGATGCACATATATTAATTGTATTATACATATTTTATGTAGTGCATATATATGTGTATACATCCAAATTATATTTAGATATATTTGTGCTATTTGCATTTTTAAGTTGTCTTTAAAAAATCAACTTGTATAATTGTGTCATCCTAAATCCAGAAAGTGTTGTGCATACTTTAAATAAACTTTGGAATACACCTTTTCGACAACAGGTTTAGCAATATACAGATTCTGAAAGAGAAATTAGGCAACAGAGTTTTGTATAAAATGTATTCTCAAAGTTAGATTTTATTAATTTTAATTTTAATTTCAGTTGATCTTAACCAAATGAAAATACTGAGATGGAATGGATACTAGCATTTTCTTTTCTATTTGTTTCTTTATTATTTTCTTTTGTAATAGTGGGGATTAAACCCAGGATCACACATACTAGGCAAGTGCTCAACCACTAAGCCACATGCCCAACCCAATAATAGCATTTCTTTATCACACTTGTATCCTCTTTCAACAGCCTATGAGGAACTCTTAATCTTCAGTTTAATAAGTACTCTTCATATGTTCATATATAGGAGAAAAGCTGACCTGTCAGTTTTATCTATTAGTTCTAGCACTGTGAGCCAAGTGTAATCATAGGACAAACCCAGGTTGTCTTATGTAAATGATCTATAGCCATTTTTTTTCTTTTTCTTTTTTTTTTTTTTACCTAGGAAGTAGGAGTAGATGCATTTATCTTATGTGCCTTTCTTGGCATAGTGATGTGTGTATAAGTGAATTTGTATCTGTTGAAAAGGTGATGCTGCTGAACTGCTTGAAATATACTGTTATTTCACCTTGTTTTCTTCATGTTCTAGTTCTGTAAATATAAGCAAGCATTTGGAAGAAAATAAAGTATAAAATGAAGATAAACTTATTCAGTCGTATAACTTTTGTTGGAATCTATATTCTAAACTGAAAATTGCCTCCTAAGTATAAATTACAGAGTTGMAAGTGGGATCAATAAACTAGTAATTAGGTTAGGGTCCCAGGTGGATTTAGATAATTTTCTTGGCTTGTGTATGTGATGAGTTCTGATTTGGTATTTTGACTCTTGACTCCTGTTACAAAATAAGTGGTATAAGAAATATTTCAGGAATTAGAATTTTTGTGCATATTAAAATACTCTAGTTATGTACTTCCTCTTTTTTAAAAAAWTTTTTATTTTAAGGATTGAACCCAGGTGTGCTTTACCACTGAGCTGTAACTTCAGCCTTTAGGTTTTACATTGAGACAGGGCCTCACTAAGTTATGAGGCTATCCTGGAACTTGCAATCCTCTTGCTTCAGCTTCCTGAGTTGCTGGGATTATAGGCAGGTGCCACTGTGTCCAGTTCTAGCTACTTTATTCTTTACCAAAAAAAATCAAATTAAATGGTACATTGTTTTCATGTGTATCTATAAAGTACTAGTTTAAAAAAAAACACCTATAAATTAAAAGAAGGAAGAGCAGTAGAATAGAGGAAAGGTAACAGGGAGTAGGAGGAGTGGAGAGTAAGGGGTGTACTGGGGATTGAATTGGAGTAAATTATATTTTATGCTAATTATGTCAAAATGAACTCAAATATCATGTATAACTATAATGCACTAATTTTTAAAAGGAAAAAAACATGATTCTAATGAAATTCTAGTTCTTCAGTTTCATTCAGTATTATGAATCATATTTTCTAATATTCATATAGATCTTCTTTGTTCTTCAGAGAAACCTATATTTTATTTATCTTGAGTCTCATGGAGTATTTTTCAAATAAAAAGGGCTGGGACTGACTTCTGTATCAAACAAATTGGGAAACAAAGCAAAACATATTTTTCTCTTAGAGATTTATAAGTACAGTCATGTGCTGAAGCTTTGTGGAGTCCTGCCCTCAAGTGACAATTGTTGCTGTTTTCTAATGCCATGACTATCAAATAATTTTTCCATGACATCTAGTAATAATGAGCAATTTTTAAAATATACTTTGAGATATATTTACTAAGTTTTCCCTAAGTTTTCTTTTCTTAAAAAAATCTATATTTTGTGTCGACTTCGAATATAATTTTAGAATATTGGTGTTGGTGGATATTTAAGAGGTAGAGAAAAAACATTCTTACCGAGTATTCAGATTACTGCCAAAGACAGGGACTGCATCTACGTCTAGATTTAAAAGGGAAACCAGCATAGGTGTTTTGTTCTTGTGGTGCATACACTGGTCTCAGACACAAGAATAGGAATTTAAAGTTTTTCGACAATCATTTTATTCATCCTCCCTTTTCCATTGTCCCTCTGTAGCCCCATTTGTAGCCCTAATTCATGTTTATGGTATATTTCTGCAACACTTATGTGCAAAATTGCCCATTCATATTTATTCTTGCTGAAAATCCAATGTCATTTCACCTCTTAGATTCAATATGAGAGTTGCAGTGCCTTGATAAATGTATTTGTTTGCTATCTAGATCCAGATTCAATATGAGAGTTGCAGTGCCTTGGATAAACAGATTTTTTTTTTGTTTTGTTTTGTTTTGCTATCTAGATCCAGTTGCTTTTGGTTCCTTTCTAAATCTCATGAGGAAATTTCTACCAATATTGCTTAGATAACACATTTTTCAAGAATCAATTTAATACTGGAGATGTAAATATATTTATGTATGTATTTTTTAAATAATAGTTTTAACAGAATGTTATTAAGGTGCTTGTATTACCTGCTTCTGAAGTTATCCTGTTTTTTCTTAATATAGGTGTGTGTTTATCCATGATGTCAATAATGCATTTGACACACGATTCCAGTACTATACTGAGGTTTTTTTCTCAAATGCAAGGTGTGCTTTTTTAACACCACTGATATATAGTTTTAATCTGTTCTTATAAACATTGACTGATCTTTATGGATTTCTGTGGAATATACTGAGAAAGGAATATTATGGGAAGTTTATTGTTTAAAACATGCTTAAAATATTTAGTGTTTGATCCAGTATTCTGTTTTATTCTACTCGGTAAAGCACTCTTCTTTTCTTTCTTGTAGAGCAATGAAGTTGTCTACTACAATGCCAAGGATGATCTTGATGTGAGTATTAAAAGTTTTACATTCAGTTCTTAATTAAAATTACTGCATTTAGAGAGCAAATTGAGCTTGGTAAGTTTAGTTTTTAAGAAAACATTATACAGCATGAACAAAATTTTAGTTCTAGCAAGGTAATGATGAATTTTAGTGTTTATGTGATATTTTGTTTTTACTAGCTGTTACTGGCTTTTTCCTAAGTAGAAATCCATGTTTTTCTCTGGGTCTAAAATCCCACTGTACTCTGTCTATATCTCAATGCACTACATTGCCTTGAATGCTCTTCATCCTATTGGTAATGCTGAATACAAAGATCAGATCCCATTCATCTCTGCTTCCTGGCTCCTGTCACCAGGGCCACCTTACCTCTTTTCTTGTGTGAACTGCCTACATAATTGGGAATGTTTTATTTCAACCGTAATGTGAAAGATACCCCAGAAGCTGTGTAACTGGCCCCGCTTGTCCAGTCTTTGAAACATAATGGTTACATGTTAGGTTTTTATTTATTTATGTATTTATTTATGTATTTATTTATTTATTTATCTCCTCTGCTAGGCAAGTGCTCTACCACCAAGCTATACTGACAGCCTCATCCTTAGGACTTTTTAAATGAATGACTCTAATTTACATTTTCAAATTATTTGTGAAAATGAATTATTTCAGCACTAATGAATTACTTATAATATTGTCACTTCTGGATAATCATTGAGGAGACATTTTAATTAGTTATGGTGGAAACACTTCAAAATTACAAAATAAAGTATACAATTATGTTTTTAAATTTACATGTTTGATCACTTGCAAAAGAATATATCTAGATACAGTTATTTATCCAAAAGCATTTGTCATGGCCTTCCTGTATTTTAAGTACTCACCTGAGGACTTGGGCTACATTAGTGAACAAAATAAAAATGAATATAATTAAATTATTAGTGTCATTCAGACATTTTTTAAAATCTGAATTTAAAAAATTTTCTATACTGTTTTATGACATTTTTCTCCCAACCAATTAAGGGGAATGTAAAGAAAAAAAAAGTAGAGCTGGTCTTAAAAAAATTTTGGAAAACACAGAAAATAAATTTTGCTGAAATGTCACAGCTTCTCAGATTGCACCACTGCTGCTAATACTTCTGAATAAAATAATTAATTGTGCACTAAATTTGCCTGCATACTGCAAACCATCTTACACAAATTATCTTAATTCTTACAACAAAAATGTGGATGAAGTTGTTTTATCTGTATATATGGAACTGTTGTTTATAAAGTTATTTTCTTTCCTCTAGATGTAGGTAGTTTGTTAGTGATATGTTTTCTCTTATGAAGAATGCATGTGTCATTTTCATGTTGTAGAGGCTTATTATAGATAAGCTGTCAGCTAACACAAAATGTTTTAATAGTATATTGATTGGTGTCAAAATAAATACATTTTTAGAGTGTTTATTTTATCATCAAAATTGGTACTTACTATTTGAAAATTATATGGTCATTGAAAATTCATGTAAAATCATCAGTCTTTCTGGCTGTCTATTATAAATTGCAACTTCTGTTCAACATTTAGTTTGTGGAATTATGACAGATTTTTTAATATGCAAACTTCCAAGTAAGTGTTGCCTCATGATAATGATAATGATACAGCAAATGCATTTTTTCTATACTAAAATAAGTTATATTTTTATATCAACAGAGTAGTTTATTCACTTCTCAGTTTTTCTTATAAACTTATAAACTAGGAAGTTATTTTTCTTTTACAGAAAGAAATGTGCCATTTTTTGTAAGATTCTAATAATCATGCACAAATCTAGACATGACTTTTTAGTAGGTACTACCCCATTTTCAATCACATCTTCAAAACATATGTGCCCATTGCAGGTAGAAAATTGGACAGTTATGTATATAGAACAGTTAAATTGTACATTGTGTTTTCTTGCATAGTTTACCTACAGAAATATTCATTTAGATATTCAAATAACAGTCTGAGAAATGAATTCATGGAAGTGAACCTATTGAACATATGATGTATTTTTGTCTTTTCTCATCTAAAAAATATGGATAATACTACTGTRAGTTAGAATTTTGCGTATAAAAATTATACATTCTCTTTTCTTAGGCCCAAGATGAAATGTAGAAGAGTTAATCAAAACTTTTATGAATAGGAAATGTCACCTTTTAAATTTCAAACTTACAAATCATGGCAAGCATTTGTAGAATTTTTCAATGTTTTATATACAAATAGTAAGAATGCCAAAATAATTTGTAAACTATTATGTAGTAAGAACTAGAATAGGAATTGGAGACTAATTCATGTACTAGAATAGTCCTAAAACTGTGGGTGCCCATAGGCATTAAATTTTTATAATACTTGACCATTTTTTTTCCATCCAAAGCAAGATACAGCAGTGCAGATGATCTCTAAAGTTGACTCCAGTGTTAAACGTTCTGAGTTCAAGAGCTAAGAGGGCAACTTACAGTCATGCAAGCCCTGAGGTCCTTATTTTAGTTTTCTGCTGTCCTTTTCAATGTTTGTGGTCAACACTGATGCTCCTATGTCTACAATGTTTTTATAATAATAATAATAACAATTATTATTATTATTATTATTATTATTATTATTATTATTATTTTGTTTGTTTTGGAAATTTTGCTTTTATTTGCATTTTGAATAATGAGGAGGTAAGTGGGAAGGAAGGACAAGTCTTTTGCCCTCAAGAGCATGCTCTGGAGGTTGCACCTCCACACTTCTTTCTGCACCTTCTACAACTTAGTGACCATCTAATAGCAAGAGGATGTAGAGGATAATTTTCCCCCACTTGGATGGCCATGGATACCCAAGTAAAATATAGAGGTTTGTTACTTAAGGGAGAAGGGGTGCGGGTGGTAGTGATTGGAATATACTTACCAATTTCTGTACATACCTTCAATTTGCTTTTCCTGAGATATTTAAATTAATGCTAACACTTCACTCACTCATCTAAATGACTTTTGTCATTTAAATATTTTCAAATCTTTAATTAGAGAAAAAATTCTCTTACCTTAAAATAGATTTTATGTATTTTCTAGTTTCTCCCACTTCATGTTTTGATCACTATGATCAAACTGTTTTCTGAAATTTATTTATTTTACAGTGAAAAGAATTTAAATTTCATAAGGAAATGTTGCACTTGATATTCTACTTCAGGATTTTCTGTGTTTACAAGTTTTTTCAAAGGTTATTACTTATCTGAAGAAGTGGGACTTACATGAATGATGAAGTTGATTTGTTCTCACCAAAACTTTTGCCATATAGGCAAGTTTAATTGGCTGCTCTAATCCTAGATTTGTATATGTATTGTTTGATATTTTTATATTTCAGGTGTTCACAAATCATAATGCCATCACATAGGTTTAGTTTGATTTTGGCTCATCATTCCCTGTTCTTCACCCTGGCTTTTCTGCTTATGTATTTAGTTATGCACTTTTATTTTTCTGATTATATAATGTTATATCCTTTATTAAAAATTGGTGACTTAAGAGTGTATAATGTGAATGAATCATCTCATAAATGAAAATCTAACATCTAACTAAGCAATGGAACTAATTGGAATACTAAATATTGAGACAATATTGTCAATTAGTAAATTTGACCTTAATATAGTTCAGTGGTGATATAAGTATCAGAGAACAAAATTTTATTTAAAATGTTATGCAACCTGAAGTAGACTAAAAGATTATAAATCCTGAAGTTGTCTTTTTTTTTGTATTTTGTTTTTACTGTTTTACTTTCCCCAAGAATTTTGCATTAGCAGAATCTAATTTATTTTACAACTCCCATGACTAGAAGAATATCTATCATTGTCTCCATACCTTTACATAAAGCATTTCCTTTCCTTCTCTAAGACCATCATCCAAGTTTAGACCCTGTTCTCAAATATGTATATTTGAGTTAGCGAAATAATCGAATGTTTCTACTTTTTATATCTATCTTTAATTTCATAATTATTATTAATATGTAAATATACCTAAACATTATATTTATAATCCTTCCATTGTCTAGAACTTAAAATAATTTATTTCTTTGTATGGTATTTAAGACCCTGCAAAAAGCTCACTAGAAACTTTCCTAAGCAGATCCAACTTTTGGTGCTGAAATGGTATTTTATGCTTGGAGGCACAATTGATCTTTGTAAGTTATTCCCTTGTCATCTCTCTGTACCAAATAAGTTTCCTGAGCTTATTTCTTGTGTATTCACAGCAGCTGACATAGCTCTTATATACTGTCTAACACATGGTAGCCACCCAGTAAAGTTTTCTTTCTCAACAAATTACTCAGTTGAAGTTTGAATTTGCATGTTGTGAAATAGCTTAAGAATATCTTCTCTCCTGCAGACCTTGTTTTGTTTTAAGCATTGCTTTTCATTACCACCACCAACCTCAGCCCAGACATGTGAGGGGCTCTGCAGTTTAGAGGATTGGAATTTAAACATAGGCTTTGAAGAAAATACTTGCTCTTAATGAATGACAATTGTTGTATCAAATGTTTTATATAATTCTTTGATTTCTAGTTATAGTATGAAAAGGCAAGCAGCAAGCATGAATGTTTGGGCAAAAAAACCAAAACAACCAAGGGTATCATCTGTCCCTTTCCCAGTCCTGAATTAGGTAGCTGTTTCTTCATTTTAGACTAATAAAACAGGAAATATTCAAGGGGTGGAATACACAAAAGATTTAAAACTAGAAATGGCATATGTAGCATTAAAGACAGAGAGCCATGGGCTGGAGTTGTGGCTCAGTGGTAGAGAGCTTGCCTAGCATGTGTGAGGCCTTGGGTTCAATCCTCAGTGCTGCATATAAATAAAATGAATAAAATGAAAGTCCAACAACATCTAAAATGTTTTTAAAGCATTAAAAAAAGACACAGAGACAGGATAGTCTCTGAAATACTTATTTCAGCTACTTCAGTAAAAAGAAAAACAACATTAAATATATTCTTGGTGCCCCAAATGATTGAGCAAGTGATTTATAAAAATCCT